ATTGAAAAACGCGCGGCGCACAACAACATAACACAGGCATCGGTATTCTGTATCGAACTCTCTTGCGGAGTTTATATATTCACGACGTGAGCATCAGAATAGCCAACTATATGCACAATTATCAGGACGATACGCAATGTGTGGTGGAAGTGCCGGCACACGGTATAGGAACTAACGCGATGATATAGTGCGTGACAGGGGGGGGGGATATATATACGTAGTCGCGTGAAAATAGACCCGTTACAAACTTCGTTCGAAGAGCCGCCAGAGAGAGTGAGACCCGTACACGGAGAATTATGAAGGCAAACAGACTATGTTGAGCGAGGAGCCCATATAGAGGAATAGACGTATCGCATCCGCACCTGCACTCCACAACAGCGCGGAAGACAAGTGCGCCGCAAGTCCGGTCGACCCGTATGGCGAGGGCGAGCACAACTGCACATTATCGCAGCCGTCATAGCTTGAGGGGCTATCGGATTCTGCGGAAACGCCGTGCGTGTATCTACAGGTGAACGTGCAAATGCGGCGTAGACCCGTTCACGCTAGAGCAACACGGCGTCGGTCCCAGATACTCGAAGTATAACGACGGCATTTTGGCGCACGCCACCGACCTGAACTCCCGCAGTGCCGTAGCTGCAAACGAATCGTACGTTACTTATGCGATATTTTGACGGTAGATTCCCCATGTCCGTGTGGCTTACCGAACATTCCAGCGTGTGTTGCGGGATGCGTTGCATTCCTCCATGAAACATGCTCTTTCTGGTCACTGTTGCAGCCTGGATGCATTTCTTCGAGTTTGGTGATATAACGTCAGTTTCTGGAACGCAAACATGCACTATCCATCAGTCTACGTAGATGAAAGGTGGTAAGGCGATCTAAGCTGTTGGCATAATAAGGAAGGAAATGATGGGAAACGTAAATAGTGGTTGAGTGTGTGTGTGTGTGTGTTGTGTGTGTGTGGTGTGGTGTGTGGGAATGCTGTGAGTGTGTGTGTGTGTGTGTGTGTGTGTGTTGTGTGTGTGTGTGTGAGTATGTGTGTTGTGTGGTGTGTGTGTGTGGTGTAGTGTTGTGTGTCGTGGTGTGTGTGTGTGCTGTGTGTGTGGTGTGTGTGGTATGTCTGTGTGTTGTCGTGTTTCGCGTGCGCGCGCGCGTCGTGTGTTTGCTGGTTTATGTCCTGGCGCGCGGCCCGCGGCATGTGTGTGTCTGTGAGTGTGTGTGTGTGTGATGTGGTGTGGTGGTCGGGTCGTGTGCGCTGCGTGTGTGTGTTTGGCGTGTATGTGTCTGGCTTGTGTGGTGTGTGTGTGTGGTTGTGTGTGTGGGTGTGTGTTCGTGGTGTGTGTGTGTGTGTGTGTGTATTGCGTGCGTGTGCGCCTGTGGATATTGTGCATGGGTTCTTTATGTTAACATCGGTGAATCACATCATACAGCATCGAACAGCGCATATCACAGATATAGATCAAGATAACTAGTAGTATAAAGAAAATAGATCGAGATAGGTAGTGCTATATAGATCTAGGTCTGAGGTGAGATCCGCGCTCGCTCATTTAACGCCTGCCTTGCCGACGGCCCTACCGCCAATACGGCATATGCAATAGATACTGCTGCAGGCAGCGATGCGCTAAATCATAATTTTGACAGAATACATTCGTGTCATGCGTTCGTGGCTAAAAGTAGAGCAATTACAGAAGCACCCTCCCCCCTCCCTCCCTCTGGCTGTCGCCAAGTTGATTCTGGGAAATTTACGGAGTCCGTGTAGTGTAAACATAGAAATATATAGAGACGCTCTATCTATCTATATTATTCTACTCATTATTCACTCTGTCCATCTATATTATTTCTATGAGTGTAGTAGACCTTGCCTGCAAATACGGCAGTGATGGGCGAGAGCGCGTCGGATATCATGAAGTAAAATTTAAAAAATGAAAATAAATAAATAAATAATAATAATAATATAATAATAATAATTTGAAAATAAAAATGAAATAAGCAAATGAACATAAAATAGAAGCGCCATAACACCTCCACGGTTCAAGCAGTTGCGTTGCCTCCACGCGCTGCAACCGTGCGTTGTTGTGATCAATAAACAATAACACCTTAAAATTTCGCGAGAGGCACAGGTTGCGCGTTTCGCTTACTTACATTAGAGGGTAAGGAGTCATAATTGAAAACACAAAACCATCAGATGTGATCAGGTGTCTATAGGTACTTATGGTTAGGAAAACACGGGGCCTCCAAATAGATTTAGAGAGCTATGTAATTTAATTAAGAAATTGGGAATACGGCTAATAACAACAGACACTCGGGTACCAATAACAAACTTTCGCGTATAAAAGAGTGTGGTAAAGGGTGGAGGGTATAGAGTTGGGAGCAGCTAGAGATGGCAGACGAGATATAGTGAAGGGGAGGGACAAGGTCAAGTAAGTAGCGAATGGCATAATGCGTGTTCTATAACTCTATAAGTTGCCCATCGTTATGCGGGGTACAGTTAGCGTACAGCGAAAATGCTGACGTCACGTTGGAATGTTTTCCTTACAATACGCACCGTTTTGTCATACTCCCATTGCTGATTTCCTTGTAAACCATGGCAACCCCACATCGAGATTTTCTTGCCGTCAAAGTCTAGGCAAAGGTCTTCACGGCGCAGCTCTCCCGTCGGGGTCATGTGCCATTGCTGCGAAGTAAATGTGTTAAAGTTATACGTGACCCGCACTTGAAGTTGTGCCGAAGCGGTGAAAGAGAGAGACAGAGACAATTAGCGAGCGTGAAGACCATTTATTAACATCGAATGAGACAGCTATCAAACGGCTGACTGCTCGTGGCCGGTAGTTATTCCAAGATTCTCAAGGAAATGTCGGCGCTAGGAAGTAGAAAAAGCACGCTCGTTGTAATTATATAGAAATAATGTGCAATTAACAGCCGTTCGGGTCTTGGGTTTAATGACACAACTCCGTGTCGGCATGGGCCGTGAGACCCTGTGCCGTTATTCGTGGTACGATCTTTCAGTTCAGTCATGTCAATATTCTACACGGAAGAGTTGTTCGCGTATATCAATAACTCTGGTATCCAACCTTGTTTCACCCACAGAACAGTTCAATGTTCATATCATTAATGTCGATGTCATTGAATTCGTTAATTCCGTAACAGCACGGTTTACTGCCATTCTATTTAACAATTATAATACAACATGTTGCACTGTGCCAATGTTTAGAATGAATAGGAATGCCTAAAAATTAGCGTTGTAATTCGAACTAATTCGAACTAATTCGAACTAGTAGTAATTAGCATTCGTTATAATTACTAATTAGTAGCAAGTATAATGACTTATAATTAGTTGTACTTGGAATTAGTCATAACTAGTAGTAACACTGTTAAAACTAGTACAGTATAGTGACTTAAATAAGTGAGAGTTAGTAGCAACTAAAAATTGTTATAAATAGTGTGAATTAACTAAATTTAGTTCGAGTTAGGAGTGACAACAATTAATTACTAGATCGGACGAATGCGTTTATAGGCCTACTGCGTTACCTGGTTGCCACGCTGATTGTGGCAGGGCCATAAGGTCATCAGCTTGCCGTGTTGTTTGTCATCTGACGGACTGTCTAGACACGCATCACCTGCACCACCGCCTATACTGTTACGAATCTGAAAGGGTTAAAATCACGAAGGGGTTAATAAATAAGATATAGCTGCTAGCGCAATAATAGACAGACAGACTGACGGACGGACGGGTGAACGGACGTAAATACAGACAGACAAAAGTTTTCTATTCCGTCACATATACAGGTATTAGCTAATATGGATAACATACCCACGCACACGCGCACACATGCACGCACGCATGTACTCTCGCTCTCTCGTTTACACACACACACACACACACACACACACACACACACACGCGCGCGCGCGCGCTCGCGCACGCACGCATTCACGCAAGTGCACATCACAAACATCTTACCTCGCCTCCGTATATGGCTTTTCCTGGATGGAACATTTCCGGCCAGATGCTATTCAAATACCAGCCGAAGCTCTTGCACTTTAGACGCTTCCTAAGAGCTTTCCTTGATGTCAGGTCTCCATAATTCTTACCTCGAACCTAGTGAAAATAATTGTAATTAAATCTTATTCTCTCTCGCTCTTTCTCTCTCTCTCTCGCCCTCTCTCTCTCTCTCTCTCTCTCTCTCTCTCTCTCTCTCTCTCTATTCTATACTCTCGCCTCTATCTCCCCTCGTCTCTCTCTCCTCTCTCTCCCCATTTTCTTCGTCTCTCTATATATTATATTATATATCATATATTACTAGCGTAATACAATATGAATGAAGTAGTCAGCGTTTATACCTGGGCTGGACACACATCCACGCGTCCTGAACGTGCCAGTGCACCGAGTTAGTTGAATATAGCAGTTCTGTTCACATCATTCGGATAACATCTTCACGTGTTGCATAAAATAGTTGCAGGGCGCGCTTATAATATCAGCAGAAGTGAATAATAATAGACTAGATATATTATTATTCACTCCTGATAGCAGTTGATATAATCGCAGTCAATAGACCGGTCTTTATTTTAGTGTCTAACTATCTCCAATACAAACTTTATTACGATAGACCACGCTGTTTGCGTAGCGGTGTATGATTGGTTTCGCCTGTGTACGTGCTGCGGCATGTTTAGCGCGTGCGTTTTGGCGTTGCGCACTGTTGTGGTGCGTGCTGTTTGGCGTGCGCATGTCTGTGTGTGCTAGTGCGTGGCTTGATGTTAATGGCCTGTATGCGCACGCGCTTGGCTCATGTGCGTGGACGCAGCGTGTGTGTGTGTGTGAGCTGTGTAGTGTTGTGTGATCGTTGTGTTGTGCTAGTGCTGTGTGTGTATGTGCTAGTGTGTCGCGCGGGTGGAAACTGTCTGCGTGTGTGCGGGTTGTGTGTGTGATGTGATGTTGGCGTGTGTGTCGATGCGTGGCGGCGTGTGGGTGTGCATTACGTGTTTTAAATGTGCGTGTGCTCGCCGCCTAAAGGCTTCGCGCGGCTCAATGCGACAGTCGACGCAGCACTGTGTGCGTAGCAGCAGGACATTAAACCGCATGAGTGGAGCAGCCAGACGGACGGCGCCGGCAGCCGTAGCTTGACGTTACCTTTAGCGCGACGCCAACGTGCTCCGCTAGAAAGTACTCCTTATAATCGTCTAGCCACACCTCGGCGAGCCGCACCAGGTTTTTGTAGTAATCCGGATGCGAGATACGCTGTGGCACCTTGTGACGAGCGAACTTCGCCCTACGAAATATGCTGCACCGACATGGCGAACAAGCAGAACCGCTACTAAGCTTCCGGCGCGCACATCCTATCTGTATGGCAACGGCACATCAAGTAGTTAGTTACATGCGAGTAGTTATAATATATCACATGGGAGATTACAGGTACTATAGTATATTACTAAATATATGAAGTTATCTTTAAGTTAATTAGTGATATATACTATAGTATTATATTAGTAGTATTATAGTATTATATTATATTATAGTATAGTATTAGTAGTATTATAGTATTACATTGTATAGTATAATATATAGTATACACTCCTGGTGTCAGTACGTCCGGAGCGAGCTGGGCACTAACGGTTGCTCTGTTCGCGAATGTAAAACGTTATGCGGGGGGGTACGCATCCGGAATGATAATTCGCACATCGCGTTGTTCCGAATGACAGACGTGTAGTGTGACCAGCGAGGCGGCGGCAATTGTGTATTGATAATATGGCAAAAACGTTGTTCGAGTGCGTCGGAATGCGATGTTTAGGCAGACTCCGCTAATAAGATATAGCCCCGCCTTCTTCGTTGTAACTGGGCATGAATGCCAGCGGCGTCACACGACTTGAACGTTACTGCGTTGTTGAGTGTTTGCGGAAGACTGTTTGCTTTCGCTATATATATGAGCAATGCCATCGGCCGATTGCATTTCGCATCGAACATAAAGAAATTTATCTGCATTTTCATCGTGTCAGGATTGAACGACCGGTGCGTCATTCATGCAACTAATATCAATAAAAACACACACAATGTTCGAAGCACGGAAGCTGAATGTTTACATTGCCACAAGAAATCGCCAATTTTAGGATGTTTGTATACGTAAATATGGGGATTTTCAATAAATAATTGCGCTTTTTATATGTATTTTACGACGATTTACGTTATAGAAAAATATATTGTTATTTTTTACTGAATATCTCCGTATCTCTTCTTTGAAGTTTTCATCGTCTTTCAATGCGTTTTGATTTTCTGGCAGTGATTATTATTTTGCGCTAGCAGGACCATCTCATTTTGATAATCCTTCAACATTTTTACTTCTTCTTATTTTAATGTTAGTCCATGCTTTCACTGTTATTTAGGAAGAAGGTTAAAAACTGTGCAGTTCGTAATAAGTTCACTTATCTACTTCTTATTTAGACTATGATATTCCATATTTTGCTCTATCTGCCATGATCATATTTCGTGTAACCTCTATGTGCGGTTATTAGGGTGTGACCGAGTGAGGTAGCGTTAGAGAAACAGAGTACACGGATTGCGCTTGCAGACTAAAGCGAACATAATAGTATGAGAACGTAAGTACCACAAGCGACTGTATTGGTTAGGGGGGCGGCCCATTTTTAAAAAAAAAAAACAGGTTGAATACAACACGGTATGGCGTAAATGCAACTTGTGACAGATAACGCACACGGGAGTAGAGAAGTTGAGTTCCCCGCTGGCTGAGTGACGCTCGCCTTAGTATACACAGCGCGATTCCTGTGCCCGTCATCGGCTATTATCTGTCACCTTCTTAGGGCTGTCCAGCGATTACCTGATTCTGCCGACCCCGGCTTGCGATGGACGCATCTCATAGATGTTTCACGTGTCACGTACCCGCTCTCTGCATCTTAATGACCATTGACTCTAGTCACCGTTCGATAGACAGATACCAAATAGTGGCCCTGCCACGTGGTCGCGCTGCCCTGACTACCGGCTAGTCGCCCCTGCTCTCGCTCAACGCTGTGCCTAATTATATGATCTCGAGCACAGCGTCGACTACATTTCCATATTCAGTAACTACGTTTTTCAGATTCGGACTCTTTCATATCGTTTTATAACCTCTATTCATTAATTAAATCCCCTAAGTTAGTAATATTTGCGTGCATTTTTTTTATTACTTGGTTGCTATTATAATCTCTTCCTCATATACTTTCTTTGTTTCGATGAATTTTTATCAACCATTGTAATTTTTTGTTCATATTAAATTCTAACTCTTTTTTGATTCAGCTATCTGGCATGGCATGAATCTGTAGCCGATTGTTTTGTAACTGTGTTTTATATCATACCAGATTCTAGAATTCGTCGCATATATAATCATTAGTCATCTTTTAAAAACTACAGGCACACAGCCGCTGACCGCTGTGGAGACGTGCGCCTGCGGCTCCGAATTTGCTGGCGCACTTGTTCTCACTGCCGGGACAGCGACCACTTCATACTTGCAACATCAACCGCCGGCTCGCCGCTGCGGCATTCCCGCGGAACTGGGCGTCTCATCGCGCGCAGCGTTAGATCAACAGCATGCTGACATGCACGCAAGTATATTTGTATATGTCTCTCTGAGTTTGCTAATACCATCACTGTAGTATGATGGTGTCAGCGAACGTATTTACAAGTAGCTTTTGCCAGAAACAATGGTTTTCCCCGCGCCGCAGTGTGCAAATCTTTGAACCTTACGTACAGGCCGGCGTAAACCGTCAGCCTCGGGCGAAATATGGACGGCCGCCGGATTACGAACCCTTCCAATCGCGCGCCACCGCTCCTTATGCGCACTGCTGTGCGAGCATCGCCAGCCGCACACAATGAACGTACCCCCCCCCACCACCACTGCGCTATTAAGACTATGCGGCCGTAGGAAAGTGTACTAACGATAATATCTCAAGCGAGACGATGAGTTGTATAATTTTGCAGAGGCAGCTGACGAATAAGATTGAATTCGCAGGATCACATATAAAAAACATGTCTTAGCCTATGCAGTTCGGGGGTCTCCTGTTGATAATTGGAGTTTATTGAAACGGCACAAATAGTGAAATTAAATTACCAAAAATATTTACGCGCGCTATCGTATTATAGGCTAATGGTATCACCGACGCGCTATGGGACTCGTAGAGAAAGTAGTAGCTAACTATCTATTCAAGCTTGCGGAACAATTTGAGTATACATTCTAAAAATTTCTAGATGACATATAAAACGAACGATGTCTTAGCTGATGCGTTCTCTGGAAATTCAAGTTATAATTGCAGAGTCACGAATTAGTTTTATTAATTAAAAGTGTCTATCTATACTATATTTGGCTAATCTTGTGTACTGCCTGCTGTGTGTAATGCTGTGTGTTTGTACTTGTGCGCGGCTTTTTTCGACATAGATCTGTCCTCAAATAGGACCTAACTGAAGCACTATATTCAGAATCACCAGTCTGGAGATGCGTTCGTGGCTATAGCAAAAAATTAAAAAGTTTAAGTATTAAAGTAGTTAAGTCAAATCAAGTTCGAAAAAGAGTATTCGTCAATAAGATGGCAGTGCGGTTACACAGATAGATCCACATAAACATTAGTGGGATTTACACTGGTCTCTGACTGCGCGTCGTGCAGCATATTCAGACAATCACCAAGTCCTCGGGAAGATGCGTAATCATGACATGCGAACGTCAACAAAAATCTATTCTCTCAATAGATTGGTGCTACGTCTCAGATTCCCCCCCTACTGCAGATATCCCCTAAGCTCTGTGCTTTGACGAAATACACAAACGATACTGCACAGTTAGCTCAGTTGGCAGCTAGCCTGTGCCAGTGTTTACGGTGTACCCCAGTGCAGCTGCGTTTTCTTTCAGTTAACCATGAAATTATTTTAACTTTATCTGTGTCATTACATGGTAGTTATATATTTAAAGACAACAGTTTGCTGCCGTTCTTACGGCGTATACTTTTCTGAGTAAGATATATATAACGTATTACCATATGGCCGCGAATGAATTTGAGTTACATTTCTAAATATTGCTAGCATATGTTACATATACAGGACACTATTGATTATGCTTTAATAACGTTGAATTCGACATTTTTGGGAAAAATCTCTACGAAACGTGCACGGAAAATTTTAGCCTATGAGCGATACCGCGCGTATATATTTGGTAATTAATTATACTATTCATGCTTTATTAAACTCAAAATTCACGGGGCTTATAGCTACGACATGTGTTGATATGTATCTAGAATTTTAGAAATGTAACTCAATTCGTTCGCGCCATATGGTAGTTATATATAGTACTAGCGGAATACCCGGCGTTGCCCGGGGAAATCAGTGGCATTACTCAGTTGGTGACCGCTTGGTTGAAAGGAAAATACCCAAAAAATCTAACTATCTATCTATCCATGCATGCATGCATGCATGCATCCCATCCCATTCCATGCCATCCCATCCCATCCCATCACACCGCATCCCATCCCATCCCATCCCATATCTCATCCCATCCCATCCCATCCCATCTCATCGCATCTCATGCCATCCCATGCCATTTCATGACATGCCATGCCATCGCACCGCATCCCATCGCACCGCATCCCATCCCATGCCATGCAATGCCATGCCATGCCATGCCATGCCATGCCATCCCATGCCATCCCATGCCATCCCATGCCATGCCATCCCATCCCATCCCAAACAGTAAAGAAGTGCCGCAGAGCGACAGGGGCTCATCTGGTGTCTGGTGTTCTGCTGATAAATTCATTTGTGCATAACAAGACGTCCTATACATACGTTCATTTCTAACCCAAAAAACAACACTTCAAACTAGTGTAATAAAATTCCGATAGATGGCGGGCCGCTATCAAAGGCATCGTTGCATCCCTATGGTTGCATCGGTCAGCAAAAGCATTGCAGCAACGGCAGCTGTCAGTGTGACGACGAATTGCAAAAAAGCAGGAGCGAATAATTACCATATTATTACTATACATAACGTGCGTTCTATGGTGTCAGGTAATAAGGTACATTAAATCCCTTGCGAGGCCCATCTGGCTCGTTAAAAATAGCTCAATGGTTGATACAACCAGAGGCAGAGCAGCTCGTGCAAGATTACAATTTATAGCAATACGATAGCAAATATCTCTAAACTAATTTCAGTACAAGGTAGGCCAGTGATTAGTGGACCGAATAAGCTCAAGAACGTACACACTTGCGTCTATATTGGCGCCAAAATTTGATGAGAAAATTAAGTCTGGGAAATCCGCAGCCTCACTCCTGGGTAATTATTTGAGTGCTAGTGACTGTATTCCAACTATTCATAATGTACA